CGGGGCCGGGAGCGGCGAGTAAGCGGGAGGCACTCTGTAGAAGCTGTTGGGTGGATATTCCTGAAGAGGGAGAGCGAAAGGGAACGTTAGCGACATTCATACCTTACTGACTCATAAATAATGCCGGTTTTCCTACTAAATTATTAAAGGGCAGAGGACAGTTCTCATTGTCATTTGGGACAATGTAAAATCCAGATTAAGTCTCAGGCTGCCCACAGGTAATTAACACCAACAGCTCCGCACGCACACCATTCGATTTTGCCTTTTTAGCAAGTATTTTCTGCAGGCTGCCATTAGGTGCAGCACAAGGGCAGCTCACTTCATGAATATATAAATAACAGAGAACTTAACTGAAACATCGGGAAAGGCCAGAAAACAACCTTGGAATTGCAGCTACTTAAAACCCAGACACCGACGAACCCACTGGATGCTGACAGAACATTACCACATCTGCAGCGAGCGTGTCTGCGCCGGCAGCAGCGTGAAGAGGACGCAATCGCACCGAGCGCTGCCACTGACAACTCGCAGCATTATTCGGGTGGTGCCGGGTGTGTTTCTCAAACCCCTGCTTCAAGTGATTCCTCAGCTTAGGAACCTACACCTCAAAACCCAATAAAACCACAAGGGAAAGCGTCCCAGAAACCAGAACCAACTGCACAGTGAAACAGTTCATCTGGGGGGAAGAGCCTCTTGCAAACTGGATTCCATTTGAACGGGTTTAAACCAGTGTGTTTGCTCTCAGCGTCGCTTGAACGGGAGGAATTTTAGAATTCAAACCGAACAGTAACAGCTGTATTTTGCACCAAAGACTAGAAAGCATGCACAGAACCTGGATACGAGTTAGTAGGATCCAGTCTAGCACCTTCTGCACAGCACGTAAGGCCCTAAGCACAGTCTGTACCTCTACACTGAGCTCTATCAGACAGAAACGCGCTGCAGTCCCTGGACCCGCTGCTCCGGGGCAGAGCAGCCTCTGAAGACAGCCCCGGGCCACGTCGGATGCTTTCCCGGGTTACAAGGCACCAACTACTCACGTCAGCCCTTGAGCTCGACTTGGACTTCCGCTTCCTGCCTTTTGTCTTCTTCTCGTCGTCCGCGGCATGTTTTCCCAGCTCTGAGAGCTCTCCCGACTTTCTTTCTGGTTCCTGAGACACGGGTGTGGTGGGCTCTTCCTCCTCCTCCTCTGGAGGAAGGGGCAAGGGCTCGAGGTAGTAACTCCGTGGCTTGGGTTTGGTGTGCGTGTGGTACAGGAGGAGATGCTGCTGCTCCTCGTATTTGATCACTTTCCTCTCAACACGGACTGTGCCAAACCACGCCCAGGAGAGAGGAGCAGGATTTTTGTGACCTTCAAACAAATCCCAAGGGGACACCTTTTGTTTCGTCGAAACCTGAAGACCCTGTTTTAGAACAAAAGTGAAGTTAGGATTTTAAGGAAGTTGAACGCTAGAGCAGACCACTTGCTTTCGTACATTATTCCAGTCAGAAAAATCGAGTAAAGGATTTTTTTCCCCTCCACAAAACGCACCAAACGCAGTGATGGGATTGTCACCTCTGCCACTGCTTGGAGCCAGCCTACCTGTCTGAAAGAGCCCGCACTGCTGTGGCTGAGGTGTCTGTGACTGAGAGCGCAGCAGGAAGCTGGGCTGCAGCAGGGGCACGGCCTTTTTGCGATCCTTACATCAACTCGTGTGCTGTGCAACTGCACCTGCTTGCTCTCATGCCTCACGCTTCAAAAATCAGGGAAAAACTGAAAGGAAAGCAAACATTTACTCTTGCCTGCTTCTTATCAATGGAGTCGAACCCTGCAATTTTGTTCCCCTTGGTGTCGATCAAGGATCCCATGGGCTCACAAGTAATAATGTCACACGTCTGCTTCGGCAAAGGGAGCAGCTGGCGAACCCTGTCGATGCTTTCTGACTGCTTGTCTCCCAGCTCCTTCTAGAGAATAAACACAGCAATCAATCAGACAGAGAGCAGGGGAAAAAAAGAAGAGAAGCATTGCACTGCTTTCACTATTAGAAAATGTCCAGTTTCTGGATGAATCATTTCCTTGTACTTTTACTAAACTTAAACAAGTGGCTTTGCATGCTTTCTTCCTTTTTCCATTTTTAAGAATGTAAATTACCTTTTCATCTCTTGTAGAAAATACGTAACATATTTAGTGTCTCAAACATGAAAAAAAGTAACTGTCTTGCCGAAGAATCCCTAATCTCAATATGAAGAAAACACTAGAATTCTGTCTTCCCCCTCCCATTCCTGTATTTCTCCTTTCTTCCTTTTCTCTTTGCTATTGTTAGTGCTGTTTCAGCCTCTCCTCTTTCTCCAAGAGGCCTTCCCAGACTGGAAGGTGAGCACAGAACACAATTCAAACGAAATGCCGAAAATGACAAGACACAACACTTACTTTTAATTTTTTCACCAAGTTCATGTAAGCCCTTTTGTTCTCCTCAGGCCCTCCCTGGGAAGCGTTGGACAAGTCAGAGGCAAGCGTCCCGTTGATGAGGACGCCCAGCATGTCGAGTACGGTCGTGAACAATTCGCTGGGAGTAAAAACAAGCGTTACCCTGAGGAGCCACCGACTGCCAAGACATCCAGACAGGCTGGAGAGATGGGCCAGAGCAAACTGCACGAGGTTCAACAAGTCAAAGTGCAAGGTCCTGCACCTGGGCTGGGCCAATCCCAGGCACAAACCGGGCACAGGGTGGGGTAAGAACAGCCCTGAAGAGAAGGACTTGGGGGTGTTGATGGATGAGAAGCTCAACCTGAGCTGGCAGGGCGCTCATGCAGCCCAGAAGCCAACCCTGCCCTGGGCTGCACCCAGAGGAGTGTGGCCAGCAGGGCAGGAGACGGGATTCTCCCCCTTTGCTCCGCTCTGGTGGGACCCCATCTGGAATCTTGTGTCCAGTTCTGGTGTCCCCACCGTAAGAGGGACATGGAGCTGTTGGAACTTTTCCACAAAGATGATCCAGGGGCGGGAGCAACTCTGCTACGAGGACAGGCTGAGGGAGCTGGGATTGTTCAGCTGGAGAAGAAAAGACTCCAGGGGGACCTTATCCCTGCCTGCAGTGCCTGAAGGGACCTACAGGGAGGCTGGGAAGGGACTTTTGACACGTGTCCAGCAACAGGAAAAGGGGAAATGGGTTGAAATTGCAGGAGAATGGGTTTTGCTTGGATCTGAGGAAGAAATCCCTCAGTGCGAGGGTGGCCAGACTCTGGAACAGATTGCAGTGGGGCTGCCCCCTCCCTGTAGATGTCCAAGGTCAGGTTGGATGAATCTGGAGCAACCTGGGCTGGTTAAGGGCGTCCCTGCTTGGTTAGAGAATCTCTAAGGCCCCTTCCAACCTCAGCCATTCTAGGATTCTATATCCACGGCAAAGGGACATGCTTCGTCAGCAAAAAGCGCAAACATCAGCTCCAGGGCTTTCCAAACCAGAGGTGCTCCCTGAACAAGATCAGGGCTGAGCTGATCAGGCTGCGCTCAGGCAGCGATAGGGTAACGGTAAGAAAAACGTAGCGATAACATACGTGCAACCTAAACTTAAAAGCACTAGGGGCATGAGTTAGCTCGTCTGAAGAGCGCAGGCGTACTTGTTGGTCTGCATGTCGACGGTTCCCGAGGAGATGATCGACGGTTCCCGAGGTGATGATCTGGAGGAGCAGGAGCGCCCAGTCCGTGGTCCACTGGGTGCTCCTCTGCACCGTGTCAAACATCCCGCCCACCTGCAACACAGCACAGCGGGCAGCCAGGCTCTGCCTGCCCCCGCAGCTCGCGGGCTGCTTACAAATAAAACCACTAGCCCGTCCCACGAGCTCCTGGCTGCTGAACGCCAGCTCCAGCGCTGACTTGATATGACTTGTCCTCCCCACCCCACGGCCCCAGCAAAAAGCTCCTCCTAAGAAGGAACTACAGAAAAGCAAAACATTCTCATTACGCTGCTCCTTCACCTTCGTGTTTGATGCAACAGACTGAGGTTGCTGAAAAAAATTCTCAGAACTGAAAAGGTGTCAGATTAGAATTTTGTAGTTATCACTTTCCTCCCATAACCAAAAAATCAAAATATCCAGTGCAAAGAGAAAATATCTGAAGAACAATATAACATTGATCGAAAATGGAAACTGCTAGAAGATACATTTTAACCTGCCAGCATTTCTCTCTATTTCTACCAGCACAGTATGATACTGTAAAACACGTCTTTGCTTTGAGAAGGAACCATTTTGCCAAAACTCATCCTTCGAAGGACGAAACTGCAGTTTGCACAAGCTCCTTGCTCAGGCTGCAAGCCCGACACGGTGCTTCTTGCTCCTCAACCCTACTCCACAGCAGCTGCTGTACCTTTTTATCTCGTCGGGATAACCACATAAGCCTTCCTTACCAAGTTAAGACGAAGTTGTAGGGCTTCGTGCATCATTTGCCTAGCTTTAACACCGTCCTGGTACCGTTCTTCCCTCCAGTTACTAAGGATCTAGGAAAAAACATTTAAGGTTGTTTTCTTCCTGAAAAGGAAAGTTATCCCTTTGAAATTTAAGTATTTGTGACCATTATCTACAAGGAATCGTAACAGATTATTAATCTTTTTGTCCTCATGCCTGTTTAAGACTTAGAGCAGATTAAACAAGCAGCAGGGGAAAAAATTAATTTGTAAGAGCTGATAATCTGCTAACAATTGTGTGACTAGATCTTCCTGTTGTAGCAAGAAGAAAACAAGCAGCTTTGTTATGCATGTACTGGAAAAAATTGTTTTAAACACCATATTTAACCGTTCATCAGAGGTAAGTAAACGGGTCTCTTGCTTTGGATGCAGCTTCCCCCCGGGATCTGGCGGGATGTCTGGATGAGGAATGACCAGAACCTTTGGGAACCTGGGCCAGCTGCACTTCAGCAGAGAACCCACAAAGCCAAAGGAAAGCCCAAGCAGCAGTGACACCAGGGGAAAAAATCACCAAAAGAAGGAATTTCACCAGGATGTCGCCCTACGTCAGAGCCTGGACCTGAGAGGCAATAGGAGAAAATAATGACCCTACGAGTACCAGCTTTCACAGTCACAGAAATTCACGGAAACTAAAGACAGAAAACAGGGAACGTGCACTCACTATGCTGGGCACGGTATAGACTTGGGGGACTCAGAATGTACTTTAGGGACAGGCTCAAGGAGCGACTGGAGGGCAGAGCCAGAACCAGATGGAGCGGGAAGCCTAGAGCAGAGCCAGGAGAGGCTGTGGGCATGCACAGGGATCCGACAGAAGGCAAGGGGCCAGCTGGGGACTGGCAACATCACTTTTAAAGTACGAAAACCCCTTAATCTGCAGCAGCTGGAGAAGATGAAGAGTCTTCCTAAAGAAGGAAAGTTTCAAACTTATAAAAAGTTTTCATAATCGAGCTAGAGAACGAGAAGACTCTTCCTCTCAGACAAACATCTTTTATTGATTTTCCTGGAAAGAACTGAAATCCAGTTCGTTGTATTTCTCCTTGAAAACTTTAGAAAAACAGATGTGCTCACTCTCAGAAAGGAACAAACGTCTCCCCCATTCCTCCTTCCTTTGCCTGTTCCTTTGGGGATACCTCGGCACTGCAATTTCCCCGCGTTTACCCCATCGTATACACACAAAACCGATGACACACAACACGTCTAACAAAGGGTGCTCGTGGTCATGTGCTTGTTTTACCTGATTAACTTGATTCTGCAGCGATGTCAGAAGCCCTTCCCGCTGCTCATCCTGTCCCTTAAGGCAAGTAAGCACCAATGAAAGGAAAGGTTGCTGACTCAAGAGAGACATGCTTTAAGGGAGGCAAACACAGAAGTCAATTAGTAAAGTTATTTTGATACTTGTCATCCTTGCTCCCTTCCTTGTTTTGTCTCTTTTTTTTTCTTTTCCTGGAAGTGGCAGTGCCAGCCTTTCTGTCTGTTTCTGGTTTAGCAAATTAAAGCTCTCTCAGACAAATTAAAAGAACATGCACGCAAGAAGGCAGAGCCCCAGCCGGTGTAAATGCAGATATTACGTGTGTCATAGCCCAGATCCCACCGAGCTCCGGGCACCGAACAGCCAGGAACTGTATGGACACTGGAGGGCCTGACTCAGACACAGAACCTGTTATTTTAAGCCCTCTTTGATTAACTGGGGATATAATTTTAGTGGAGATTAGGCAGCTGAGGTTTCTAATCTATGTTAGTGGCCTGAAGTGAATCCCAAGGAAGTTTCCCTGCATGCACTTGCTCGGATGAGATGTGCCATATCGACGCAAGGGCTTCCAGACTTTTTAGTTTCTATTTTTTAAGATTAATGTGTATCCATTATAAACATAAAATTAAGACAGACTAAGGTAATTTGGAAGTAGAGATGTGAAGTACAAGAGAGGTTAAAAACGCCAGCAAAGGGATGTGAGTAACAGCTCATGCACTGATTTTTGCAGCTTTGGGTATAGAAGCTCCTTGAAAATTACGTGTATCTATAAACACAACATAAATACACACACACGTGGGTATTTGTTACAAGGATTCATTTCAACAACTGTTTTAATTTGGCATTTGACTTGACTTCAACAATTTAGGTGACAATTACTACAAAGGATGGCAAAATCTCAAGGTCCCATAAAAGAAGTGAAGTAGAAAGTCTGAATTTCCAAAAGTCATGTTAAACGGTGATTTTGTGAACGACATGGTAGGAATACCTCTTTGTTTTCTCACTGATTTCCTTAAGAAACATTTACAGTCTCCAAGACAGTTATTACTGGAAGTGCTGCCCCTGCTACACAGAGCAGAATTCGAAAAAGGAAAGTATATTACGTAAGATTTCATACTTCCCCACAGTATCAGTGGTTTTGTCACTCCCAGAGTAGTGAGGCTTGGTTTTGAGCAAGAAGAAGTTGGAAGGTTTCACAGAGCACACGAGGAAGTAACTTAGTGCTACAACCAGAACGAGTTCTAGTCTTGCGTGCAGGAACCTCTGAGGAGGAAGCGCGTTCTATTTCTGCCTTGAAAGAGCCTCGATTTAGATTTTCCACACTAGAGCTCTCCCATAGGAAAAGGAAGAGATTCCCTTCTACTCATCAAGTGTCAAGAGAGCCAGAGAATAATGGAGAGAAGGGTCAAAATGCTCAGAAAGTGCTGACAAAGAGACGGGGACAGCAAGAGGGTTTTTTTATCAAACAGTGGATCCAGCATTTTTTGCACAGCGCTAATGCAAAGTGTAATTAACTCAAAACCTGCACACGGCAAAGAGAACTGCTACAGGTGGACACACCACATCAGAGGCGAAGAACCAGCACACACAGAGGTACGAGCATATCGCAGCTGTGATGGAGGGAAAAAAGAACTAAATCTTCTAGCTCAAAGGGAAAATAAGCCAGACGGAAGAGGCTGGAAAACAGCAGCAGCTTTAAAAGGCTCCACAGACTTTAATGACAACCATAAACCAAAATAAATACAGGAATACAGGTGGAGAAGAGCACTCTAAAGCGGCAAAGCCCAGTCACTGGCCCCACGTGAACAACTGTGACGCCCAGCAAAGAGCCGGCGCCCCCCGGAACACCCCAGAATGAGAAACTTACGGTGGGACCATCTACAAGAAGCCTTTAAGAAGGGATTAGTTTTCCTGAACAACCGTACTTTGCAAGAGTGTCACAAACAAAGACAGTTGGTATTTGATGGTAAGAGACCCCGAGCGTAGCGTTCAGCGTAGGAAAGTACAAAAAGAAATTATAGGCACTGCGTAAGAATATGTTACTAAAGGGAAATCAATAGCCATCGAGTCACTAAAATTCTCTTGTGCTTGGAAAGGTAGAGATGAGGTTAAGCAAAATTCCCACCAGGAATTAAGTGACATCCTAAGGGCTATTGCCACACAAGGGAAGAGACAAGCGCTCTAACTGCCCATTTAAATCCGAACACTTCCCGTCCCCGAGCTGCAGAACAGCTGCTGGAAGATGTGTTAAAAAGGCTTCACTTTTCTTCCTCTGAAACCAACGATATTTCCTCAAACTAAATGAAACCTGAACCTTGTTGGCGTTGATAATTGTTTCTCCACAGGAGTGAGCTCCTCCTGCCAAACCACCTTTCAGCTCTGTGCGCAGGGACTTCCCGAGGCCGTACCTTTTTTGTTTCTGCCTATCTCTTTCCTTCTTAGAAGACGACCCCAAATGCTGACCCTTCTCCAGCTCCTCTCCCGCAGCTTTCAAGACCCTACCTTGAACGGAGGTAGGCAGCTTCGCGATCAGGGGAGCCACCAGCCACACTCCTCGCCGCTCAGAGGAACTACAAGTAGAACAAACTGATTTCAGCCAAAATACTCACGCAGTTTGGCAACCAGTATTAGCTGCGATAAGACTGAACTGCTTTAATAAAGCAGTGGACACAATGCATCTGGAGTAACTAGCGTGGACTGAGCAGTCATAATTTCTCGTTTCCAGAAAGTTCAAGAATAGCAACTATATTTATCGTTAAGTAAAAATAAACAGAATTAACCTTCAGGTAACTCACTTCTGTACATTCCTGTCTCAAGTGCAAAAAAAAAAAAGTCTAGGCAATCTACACATAATCAAGCATCATGTTGGCTAAAATAATTAAAAAGGTGCTACAAAAAATACCTTAGGAATGTCTTTTTACCATTCTGTCTTGTATTACTTGTGTCAGCATTTCCAACAGAGTTTGGATTGAAGAGGCCTATACCAGAGTTAGAAGAGTTATTGTTTAGATCAGCGGATTGCTGAAACACCTCTATTGTCGCCTTTGCAATATTATCCAACAAGCTGTTCATTTCAGCCACAGACCCAGAACCCTACAGTAAAACATAAGTAAACTAGCACATTCATGGTAGGCTTGCTCACAGACTACGTTAAAATTTAACATACTTTTTTTGCATTAAATCTTTAGGTAAGAAAGTTGGAAAAGAAATACTCACGGGCTCCTTCATGCACTGTTTGATCATGAGCTGCAGCTCCAACCAAGACTGCCGGAGAGTCCACTGATCTAAGTTCTGGGAAAGAATTGACATTACAAAATGTCAGCGCTTTACAGGTGTGAAGAAAAAAAGTAAATCTCATGACTGGATACACTACGTGCAAAAGCCTCATTTTACAAGCAGAAGATCACACTCACTACTCCTTTTACCGGTCTAATGCCAGAATATCAGACCCATCAGAGAATGTACGTTAACTTCCACATCTTCGCAGCCAATCTTGTTCCCAAATACTTTTAACCACGCAACTTTTCTGAATAAAAATCTCACTCTCTGCCAAACCTGAGTTTAGTTAAATACAAATATGGAAAACCTAATCTGCTCTTTCATTAGTAATTACATTAATCGATGGCGTTGCCATGCAAGTGGAGATGATGTATTTAGCACACGGATATCTAGGCATGATTAAAGTAATTGTAGCAGCTGAAGGGACTATTTTACAGGACCCCGATCACTACTGGTCCTGGTCCAGACGTTCCCAACTTGATTCTTCACAGGTCTAGTCAAAGAACATCCATTATGTAGTTTAAGAAAAGAAGCGTTCCTAATGGATTTGAAGAAGGGAACAGCTTAGGACTGTCCACGAAGGCATTTGAGCCTTCTCCAGGGAGCAGCAGTGCCTTGGACCACAGATCTGTCCCAGAGTCCCGCTCAGACGTGGACTCCCCACCTGCACAGCCCAACAAGCACCTCCCTTTCCAGCGGGTTGCTGACGATGACAGCGCTGATGGGCTGACATCACTGTGTGCTCGGTTCCTGCACCACCGTGGAATGAGCAATAACGCGGCGCCAGACGTCACGCTACAAAACGCTCTCCACAGAGCGCGGGGATCCTGAGCACGAACAATCTTTACAGACCCTAACACTGTCGCCCCACGAGCTGCAGATCAGTGTCACCTGGGGGTGCTGCTGAGGGACCTGATGGGTGAGAAGTCCGCACCCCATGGGTAGTTTTTTGCACCCTCCCTGCCAGTGTTACCTGCAGAATGCGTTTGATGTGCTGCCGCTGAGGGTCGTCACCCTCGGCGCACTCTTTAACTCCATGAGGATAACAGATAAGCTGAAGGAGCTTCTGGGCTTGTTTGTTCGAAAGAACAGGGTCCAAAATAAGATCTTTGTCTGTGCACAGCCTCTCAGGTTCTTTTAAACAGTGCTCTCCAACCCATTCCTGTAAGCAATCAGACAGATAACAGATGCACAAGATAGTTTTGAGGAAATACTAACTTTTGGTAAGCTACACAGAAAAGTGATTTATCCACATGTTAAACTTGAAGTGGCCTATGGTTCATGCAACATGTGAGATTAGGAACGTCTTCTGTCATTACGTATGAGCTGGAAGCGTGAGACTGTTCACAAGTTTTCCAAAATTCATTTCTTCCACACTCGGGAAGCAACTTTGCAATGAAACAAATGCTACTGCAAAAGCGCTTTGAGCAGACGTCCAATGGAGTGGTCCTACTGCCTTCCTAAAATGCTCGAGATTCAGCGAAGAAAATACCTCAATTCTGACAGAGTGCAGACAGATGCCAATAGCTAACTAAAGCAAGTTTTCCCCCTAATAACACACGGCTCCTTGTAGAAATTGTGCAAATCAGGAAACCCGAGCAGAACTCCAACACCGAAACGCTTCCACAGTTATTTTGCACCACAACACGCACCACACTGTCCACATAAAATCCCGACGTTGCCCCAGATGAAGTGAGAAGAGCAGTGTAAGAGATTACCTGCTGGCAAATTGTTCTTAGCACGTATCGAGCGTACTCGCTTAAACTAGCAGTTTCGATGGAAACAGGTTTTCCGCACGATTTCAAAGCGTGAGAGGAGCCCCAGATCTCATCCTCGGTGAGTTCGTCTAACAAGCCTCTCACGTGGAAGTCTTCACTCTTCAAGGGGCTGACGTTGGTGCTGCCAATTTCGGCGTCACCTGTGGAGCAGAAGCAGAGAAGCAGAGGGTGACCCAAGCCCACGTGCCCCCAGAGCACCTGCCCCTGCGGGACGTCCCCGAGGCACCAGCAGCTGAGGAGGAAAGCAAGAGAGAGGCAGCTGCGCTCCAAAGGGCAGCACGGGCTCACTCTGAAAGTCACCATGCTCAGAGCTGCTGCCCACCTGCCTCACCTGGCAGAGCATCCTCTGAGTGAGTGCTTCAGGGGTAGGAAAAGGTCAAAGCCATCCTGGAACGCTTTGATCAAACTTGTAAGACCCTAGAGCAGCTTCCCCAACACTGATTTCTACTCACAAAGCTCCCCCAGCACAGAATCGCAACAGCGATCATTTGTCTGACACTTTCCCTCAGCAAATTAAGCACAACTTTTAAATAACTCATGCAGAGAGACATCTCCTCATACAACATTTTGTACAGGAGGAGATGTGCTGCCATGAAGGCACAAACAAACCGTGTGCCCTTGCCTGCCTTCGGACCACCCTGCCCCAGGCCCTGCGCCCGAGCCACAGCCCTGCCGAGGGATGGAACAACGGGTGCTCGTGCTACGCACCGCTCAGGAAGAAAACCAGCACATCTCAGCACTCTGAATAGCAAGAGAACATAGGTAACGGCCATAACTGTATTTCAAACTCACTCTGAGATTGATCCAACCCAGACAGCGATGCCATTAACACCTCTCCCCAACATTTAGAGTCACATCTGCAACAACTTGGGGGGCTTTGAGACAATTCTGAGACATTGGCCAGGCAAGTAGATAATAATGCTACTCTAGCTGGAGGCAGACCTCTGTGGGTGTATCCACATCTGGAAGCTCTTGCTTCTTTAACTGGACATTTACTTATCTCCAAAAATACACATTGCCGTAGGTCACAAGAGCTTGAACTGAACTTGAGCCAAACCAAAGCCCCGAGGCAGACGTTTGTTTGGAAAAAGAACACACTTGTTGTTCGTGGAGGGTTGCGCAGCAGTAATTCCTTTACAACTTCCACAGTGTGATTTGTGGTAAAACACAGAAAAAAGGTGGGAGAAATTATCTGAGACCACATTTCCTCTCCAAATCTGAGAGGGACTTGCTCGAGTCCGAAACATGCTGACACTTGGTGGTGGGGGTCAAAATCTGAAAAAGTCAGATCTGCTGAAATCTTCATCGGCTGGGGCTGACTCACCAGAAGAAAATCCTGTCTCTTGACCTGCAGGGAAATGCTGCTCACACGCTGCAGAAGCAGGGGCAGCATCCACATTTTTCTCCTCCCATTAGGGTTTTCTTTTCCCAGGAGCGTTCCCAGGGAAATGAACCAGCACAAGTTGTTTTTACCCCAACGCTAGAACGGAAACATTGCACGTGACTCTGCATGAACTTACCGAGCATCAAAATCGCTTTTAAGACTGCAAACACAGCTCCCACTTCTATACTGTTGTGAGCAGCAGCCAAGAGGTGACGATCGCAAGAAGAACGAATTCCGGGAAATAATTTCCCTGTGGAAGGAAGAGTAAATCTTGGAGAGAACAGCTGTTATTTATCAGCTAAGACTTCATTTGTGGAAAATCCGTCTTATTTAGAATAGCTGTAAAAGTACAACAACTGAAGGAAGAACTTCTATTTTCTGGAACTGAAACAGAAGACCAACAGGTAAGTCTTTAGAATCAGCTGGGATACATGGTTATGATGTATTAATAGCAAAATAAGTAACGATCATTTAAAGAGAAAAAGGAATCTGTCATTTCACTGTGTCCATGAAAACCGAATTTAACCACGATGAAAGGCTGAACTGCATTTTGGTGCTGACTTCACAGAGTTAGGTAATTACTTCTCTCACCTGCTCTTCATCACCAATGAGGCAAATTTAACTAACTTAAATGCCCGTTGCACAGCTAAGCCAAACCCTGCAGCTCAGGAGCAGACTGCGACAGGCAGCAGCGAGGCTCGAGGGAGAAGCGAAATGGACTGAAGGGCAGGGAGGGTGAATCTGCCGCCTCTCTGAGGAGGGTCACTGGGCTGGACCTATCAAAGCCTGTCCTGTGTCCCACTGTGTTTGATCCACATGACCTCCTAGAGCGCAGACATGATTTTTCCTACTCGCTCAAATCGGCTTTTATTTCTAGGGAAGCCTGGGACCATGTAACAGATTTCCCTTACTCAGGCAGTATTCTTACTTGTTTTGCTCAAATATGCAGCAAAAGCTCATTCATTTCTGGTCAAAAAAATGAAATTAATTTTACTTTTAGATGGAAGAATTAGGAGCTGATTTTTTCTTCCTTTCAATTTCCTTTCCTCATAGAAAAAGCCTTGTCATCATATTTGCTGAAATACTTCTAAGTCAAAGCGCAGGTTACTTCCAGGCTTGTTTCCTTTTAACTGTTAGGTGCTTGCTCGTTGCCCTTTTCCTTCCCCTTTTGGTCTGTGGCAAATACACACAGGTCAGACCACAGAATACTTGAACTGAAAAGGAAAGAGAACCACATGAAGATACTCTGATAACGGGGACATGTCCCCTTATTCTGAGGACAGGGACACGTACCACCACCGCCAACAGCAGCACCGGCACAAAACCTGTAACAACAGGTCCCGGTTCAACGAGGTGCCAGAAGAAAAATAAGAACTATGAGGACAGCCCTGCCAAATGTATTCCTCTTTGCTGAACCATGTTAAAACTCTAATTTTCTTTTCTAAGATGTAATATTAACATGCCTGAATTTTGTGTCAACGTTGTGCCACACCCAGGCAGCCACATAACGAGTAATTTGCTGCAAACCTCTGCAGATTTATACACACACAGAGCACCTCCCAAACAAGTGAGAACAGTGCGTATCGTCTCTAACTAGTGCAGCATCTGTGACCTGAACAAGCTGCCACTTGTGCTGTCCCTGTGGTACTTTCACACATCGGAAGCCATCGAAACCCGCCTGGGCTCACTTTCTGAACCGACGGGCCCAGGCGTCAGGCAACGTACCTGCTCCCTGGGCAAAGAGGCAGACCTGGGGTGTCCTGAAGAGGTGCAGGAGGAGCCGACACGTCATCCTCGCCCCAGGCTCGGCATCTGGATCTCCACAGGCTACGGGAGATGGGACGGGGACGTGAGGCATCTGCCCAGGACCTCACGAGTCCCAGAGGCAGGCCTGGAAACGTTTTACCTCACAGCCTAGCCCCGCTTCCAGTGGGAATACAATTATTCCATCACCAGGAATCTGCATTTATGGCCTTGAGTCATTAAAGAACAGGAAAGAACAGTACCAGTTTTTGGTAAGCAAGAGACATAATTAAGGACAGAAAAGAATACACGGGTCAAACGGCTTTTGACAGTCGAAGCAGAAGCAGGAAACACAACCCCCAGCAGAGAGGGTGATGAGGCCAGCACAGAGAACCGCTGCTGGCAAGAGTCCCGAGCGGCGGGGGAGGCTGCAAAGCGTGGGGGGACACGCGCCACCAGCAGCTCCCATCCCGCCCGTCGGGGGCTTCTCTCACCAAACTCGGCGTCGCTCTGCGGGGATGAGCACGCAGCGACACATGGCCCAGCTGAGACTTCGTAAGAAGTTTTCCATTTCTTTACATTTTCTTACCTGCTGCGAGCAGAGAAGGCAGCGCAACGTGCTGAACTACATCCTCCAGAGAAAAGCACTGCCGGGCGATCAGGATAGCGATGAAAGTGGCCAGGGAGTCATGGAACGACAGGTCGCTCACCTCGAAGGAAAAACATTGCATGGCTTCGCAAAACGGTGCACGCACCACTGCCACAGTTAGTAAGGAATTAGAAGAATAAACAGCCAAATGTTTACACATAAGCATTTTAATGTATTTCCCAAATGTTTTAAGGAAAATACTGATAGCTCTTAATTTTAACAAGTACCTATTTCAGGTGCCACAAATTCTGAAATAAAACACATTAGTCTTACAAACATGTGGTAACATTTTATCATTTTATAAAAACTGATAACATCAATACTCATCCCTTAGCTTCAGGACAATATGTCCCCAAAGCACACAGCTTCAATCTGTTCCCAAAGGCCTATGCAATCAAACCACACCTAAGTATGTCGCATCAGATATTCGATAACATCTGCCCCTGCAATCCTGCTGACTTTAACACTGACTTACGCCAGGTGAGTAAGGAACAGGGAAGCGTTCCACCCCTCCTACAGCCTAAGAGTCAACACCAAAACGGGGTCTTTAAAATAGAGAGAGTTGTTTGCACATCCATCAGAATTTCAGAAAAAAACAGACTGCTCCTTTCAAAGTGTACCTCTGATATTCCACATCTCTCCATAATCAAGAAAAAAAATGACAATGAGAAATCCCTAAGCACTGCTCAAATACTACATTAACCTTGGAGATGTAAGAATGAATAAAAATCAATCAGGAACTTCATTAAAGACCTTGAAAACTCAAATGGAGACAGGACTAAACTTGCACTCCACATTTCCTACCAAACAGAAACCTCGCTGTGCCCCAAAGCGCAGCCCAGGTCAGTAGGTTTAACGGGTACCTCAGGAGATGTAGAACTTACATCCACGCTGCAGAGCAGATCATTGAAACCCCAGACATGATTTGAAGAGCAGCAAAGAGCTTTGACGACCCCTAACCACTCCGAGCTAAGCACCGTGCAGCACGCCGTCAGCTCTGCGCAGAGGTTTGCTATGTCATTAATCCTAGGAAAGAAGAGACAAACAGCAAGTAGTTTGGTCAAAGCGGATGAGTGTTTGGCAGAAGAACTGGCGTTTCCTTACTTCAGGTGGGGGCTTGTGTTCAAACGTGATCAGGCCACCGCACATAGAAGCCGGTGCCAACGTGCCCCGCGCCCCTGCCAGCGTCCCTGCTGGCGCCGAGCTGCCCACAACGAGGGCTGGAGCACCCGGACCCCGCTGCCGGCAGCATTTAGTTTGGGTTTGAATCACTTTTGTTAACCACTCACATGTAGAACTGGGGGAAACAGGCTGTCACTGGCGGTGCTCCCATCCCCACGACCGATGACCTGTGCCCTGCACAGGGCGTGTGAGTCACACTTATGTAACACCTCAAAAACCAGCAGAGCTGACTCATCCCAGGGCAAGGTATTTTCTTCTCTGTTACACAGTGAAGCTCGTTTGGGCCACACTTAGATGTTCCCCTTGGTTGCTCTTACAAAACTGCTTCCTCTGAGCTGCCCTGCTCCACCAAGATGCTTCATAGAGCCACAGCCTGGTTTGGGCTGGAAGGGACCTTGCTGACCATCTCATTCCAAGCCCCTGCCACCAGCAGGGACACCTCCCACCGGAGCAGGCTGCTCCAAGCCCCGGCCAGCCTGGAACCCACACACGGAAGGCAGGAGTCAATAGGAAAAGAAGGAGGAGAAGGAAAAGAAAGAGGAGAAGAAGGAAAAGAAAGGGGAAAAGAACGGTGGAAAAAACGAACAACAACAAAAAAACCCACAATTTCCCAGAGTTTTGTGATCTATCAGCAACCTTTAAAAAAGACTGTCAGCTACCGCTGCACCTGGGTCTAACTATCAAGATGAGAATTTCTTAATAAAAACAGGAACAGAATCAGATCATTTCTGGTGGTTTTCACAGCGTAAGAGCAATAAAGGTGCTGGGAGCAGGGGTAAAGGCTGGGCCCAGAAAGTGGTGCCCATTTCACTCTGCACCACAGCGTGTGCAGGATAGAAAACCAGGGTACAACAGCTTCAGCACTGCACAGGCAGGGCAAGTTCGTGTATTTACACACCAGAAGGAGGAAGCAGAGAGGAGAAAATCTGAAGTATGAAGGAAAACATACTGTCGGTGTAAAACCCTGACACCGATGTGATTTTCCTGAAGGGGTTCCTCACTGTACCTCTTGTGAGCACCTTGTATGCTCATGGCCCGAAGGCTCAAGAAGTGTCACAGTGGATCAGAGCAAAGCTCTGCGCGGCAGTGGCAAGAGCCAGCACCCACTGGGGCCAGGGGACAGTGCAGGACACCTCAGCGAGGGGCACACCTCATCCTCAACTCTGGAGAGACCGTAAGTGGAGCACTACGAGGGCTGAGCCTCTCTTAAAATACAGCTGACAGCTCTTACAACGCTAGTTGCTTCTATCCAATGCAACTTTCAATACCTGAAAAAAATGTTTTTGGAAAAATCTACGTATTATGTATGAAGATGAAATCCGTAATAAGTTACACGCTCAATAAATTAAACAGTGATTGCATCAGAAAGAGGAAATGAGCTAATGCAGAACCTTCCCTCATTTACAGGCTTCTGCGAGGCAGCGACTGTGCTGAGCTGTTCGCCTGAAGCAGCACAACTGCTGCGGCAAAAGGGCTGAGCGACGGACTTCGAGCGAGCACTTCCCACCGCCCACTCCCTTCTGCTGAACTGCTTTAGGGAAATAACTCAGGGGATGCTTACTCAGTAGATTTTCAGCAACCAGAAAGAGTAATGAATGAAAACAACTGCAAACCGGACACGAACCCGAAAGGTGCCAGGAAGCCTCGGGTACACCGTGGGGACATCCCTCCGGGTTGTGCCTCACCTGCCCGCGTCCTGGTGGCCCATGCACACATTCATCAGCGCGTTGCAGACGAAGCTGTAGCGGTTGGCCGCGTTATCGCTCAGGATCTTGCCCAGCATGGAGTAATTCACACTGTGAGCAGAAGGGTTCTCGATAAAATCTAGCATGAACTCTGGGTCCCACAGCAGATTGGAATTGGAAGGCTGGACGTTGCTGTATATCGTTTGCTTCACCTTAGAACAGGCACTACTGAGGACCAAAATAAAACAGAGATTGTTGCCAAAGCCCGTGCTTTGCAGGAGTGCTTTGAACACACCATGCACGAGCAGAAAATCCTCGTTTGGTCACCACTCTGTGCATATTTTCAAACCCACATTTGAAAAGGAGCATCACCAGACAAGAAGGTCATACGCCTGTTTCATTCATGTTTTCCCACAAGGAGAGTCGGAGGTTTCCAAATAGCTTCCGTGACATTCCTCTGACTGAAACACTGCGAGCGGCTGGGGACAAGGACCACGCATTCATCCCTCCCCGGCACGAGCCCGTGGAGCAGGAGACTCCCCGGCAGCGAGCTGTGGGAGCCAGAACGCGGCTCCCCCTCGTGAAGGGTTACGACACACTGAACTGCAGCCGTGGTGAGAAGAATTAACTAAGGGAATTTGAGTACATTTACCCAAATTAAAAACTCTACAGACATCCTTCTGAAAGACAAAACCAATACACAGAGGGAATACACCTAAAGGTGATATTTTGATGATGAAAGGTCAAGAAATGTTCCAGGCTAGGGACATTTGTGTGTTCGCTGGCTTTCTGCAGGGGAAAATAAAGGCGTTGGTGAAGAATGCAAATTTCCCACACAAAAGGAGCATTTGTCTCAAGCAATAGGTTTTACACCGCAGCTGAAAACTGCACGGACACGAGCACATTTCACTCATTATCTCAGCTGGGGAAGCTTCCTCGTTACTGAGGGGCCCCGACCCTGCACATGCTGCTCCTCATCCTCAGTGCAGGAGGAAGAGGCCATCAGCAAAACAATTAATCTACCAGAGGGGCAATGCCTGACGTTAACCCCGTGCTCTAACAGCAAAGAAAGAAAACCAGCCAGTGGAATCGCCCCAGCACCGTCCTCGCAGCTCTCGCCTACGCTCGCTCCACAGACGGAAAGGTCTGAAAGCCAAAGGATACAACAGCGAGATGTGAGCCCGGCAGGCTCTGACCCGGTGCTTGCACAAGAAGCAGTGCTGGGGGAGTGGTCAGGAGGGTAAGGGTTTGGTTTTTTTTAAAAAGTGAAGGAATGATTTTAAAAACGGAAGTTTAGTGAGTGCAACTAAACATGCCGTGTGTACTAAGCCAGAAGGCGCAGCCCGCTCCGTAACGCCAGCAGCACAGCAGGTGACACTCGAAGCCCATTTTGAAGCATTGCAACAACACACAGAGGGTAAGTCTCCGAATCGGAACATTTATCAACTGCGCTTTGCTGTCGCTCCCAATCGACTTAGAGAGAGATAAATGGCTGCACTTGGAGCATGCTGAGAAGGAGCTAAAACAGCTGCCGTACTCAGACAATGCTATTACCTTATACGTAGCTGTTTAAAAAACGTACATATAAATTTTATCACCAGATTCTAGAGAATTTCTATCACCACTTGTCTGAAAAAAGAGGCTTCAAATCAATTGCTGTATATTGCATAATTAACATATGATTTAATGCCCTAAATATCACTAGATGCTATTTTGATTTGCTATTGCAGGTTAGTATGAATAAAAATGTTTTACTGAACTTAAGGTTTTAAGCAGAAATATTAATATAGAGCTAATCTACTTCTGTAGTTCTTCTACATTCCATATCTCTTTTTCATAGTGCTTCTCATGTTAAATGCTACTGTTCCTATGTGTTTGTAAAACTGTTAAAATATTAAGCTTATGACTGAGAATTCTTGCCCTGCTCCCTATGAAATGAAAACCACAAATCTCAAACACACAAACCAAAACCAGGAATGTAAACTAGGGGGGGAATCGGTGAGTGAAGTGGTTTGTGACTCTCACGAGATGCACATCCGCATGTGAAAGGTTTCCACTCTCCCTTTTAAAAGTACGACCCAAGTATAT